TAACTAAATATATTTTTATTTCAATTAAAATAAAATTTATAAAAAATCTTTTTTAAATGTAATTTTTTTTTTTTGTAAATGTAAGTATTTTTTTGTTATATTTATTTAATTTTTTAAATCTAAATAATTTTTGGTTCAAAAAATGTTTAGGGACTTAATCGTTCAAAATATGAATGTTCATTGGGTTTTTTTCGGACTTTTTTTCACTATTTTACCACATTAACTAGTTGTACAAGTCATAAGAATGTACCCAACAAGTTTTAGAAAAATCCAAGGAGTTATGTAACATGTTTTGGATTGTCCAAAGATTTATTTGTTCCAAAAAATTATCGATTGAGTTATTTAACATGTTTTAAATTGTCCAAGAACTTATTAGTTCCAAAAAATTGTTTAAGAAGTTATTTAACATGTTTTAGAATGTTCAATGACTTATTTGTTCAAAAACTTAATCATTCCAAACACTAAAGTTCATTGAATTTTTTTTGACTTTTTCCGTTAGTTTAAAATAAAAACTCATTTTAATAGTAGGTGACAACCCGTGTAATTTACCTAAATATATCACATACATTTATAGTATTTTTATTTTATTTTAAATGAGGTAAACTAAATGTTCCATTTTTATTAATCAAGAAAAAAAACGAAAATGAAAAAAAAAAAAAAACACGCCCAATCCAGCTTTGCCCTTGGCATTCTCCACTCTCCAGTCTCCCACCGCCGCCTTCTAATTGACCATCTTCCTTCAACCGCCACCAGTCTCCTGCCCAACTCCCCCCTCCATCTCTAATCCCTCAAGCGATCTCTTTTCAGCAATTGGTATGCATACTCTTATGCTTGCATATACATCTCTGTGTCTGTGTCTTTATATGATAAACACAAAGTCCACACTTTTATCTGTTTCCAATTCAATTCGTAGATCTAAAACCCGTTTGCTGAGCCCTCCTTCCCTAATTGTGAATGCTGTTGTGCTAGGATCGTGCCAGTTATCAAACCCTAATGTTGCTGTTATTTGTACTTGTCTTGATAGAAAAATTAAGCTTTGGATTTTTCGATTTTCTAATCAAATTTCAATTCTGAAGTTGTTCTCCAATCTAGACTTTGTGTAATTGATAATGATATTAAACTTTACGGAAACTATTATTTGATAGCATAAAAGCTTAACACATCTTGAGAATAATTTTGTTTCCACACAGCTTTCAACTTCCAGATTGGTCAATCCGTTGATTAGGGGAAGTACATTGCTTTAGTAGGTTCATAGAGTTAGAAATAGATGGAATTTGATGTAGATTTTTTGTTGGAGCTGACACTCACATTGAGTGTTATATAAATCTCTGTTAATTTTGAAGTGAATCAATGTGCTGATGTGATTCTTAGAGGTACATACATGTATTTCCTTTTATCTTTTGAACACATATGTTGCACAATACGTGTGTTGTGTGTGTGTGTGTATATGTTCTTAAAGATGATAGCTAAGAATACTGTTGACCATTTTTTAGGTTATAAACAAAGGTTGCTAATGGAGATACAGACAACTGAAGCTTCAGAGGTTATAAGTACAGAGACAACTGAAACTTCGGAGGTTGTTAGTACAGAGACAACTGAAACTTTGGATCAATCAACATTGCCTCTGGTTGCACAGCAACAGACGACTGAAATATCGAAGCAGTCACCACCTCCGATTACGCACATGCCACCAGCTGAAACTTCACTGCCTCAGGTTACAAACACACAGACAACTGAAATTTCAGAGCAGCCAACACAGCCTGATGTCACAAACACACATGCTACTGAACCTTCAGACCAGTCCACTCTGCCTCCGGTTACAAACGCACAGACAGCTGAAGCTGAAACCTTGGAGCAGTCAGCCCTTCCTCTATTGACAGATACAAAGACAGCTGAAACTATAGAGCAGACGGTCATGCCTTCTGAGGTTGCTGATAGTAGTCATGATAACTTAGTTGCTTCTCCTGAAAATCATCAGTGAGTATTTTATCGCTAGTTACTCTAATTTTCTAGCAGAAATGGTCTTTGCAAGGATACATATAGTATTTCTGTAACTAAATAAAATAACTTTTTTTTTTGCTAATGCTACGCACAAGTGATTTAGACTTCAGAGCATGCAATTTTGCTGTTAACGACAGCTAAATCACAGTTAATTATGGTTGAAAATGCTTTTGTCACCTTATCAAGCATGGGTGGGAGTCTTTCGGTACTAAATACTATTTACATGATTTAGTTGCCAATCACCATATTCTTGTTTTTCAAATTGGCGGTATAGTCTACTTTTTATGATATATTTTGTACCCGTATCAATAGGAGTAGTTAGATAGGCAGCGGTTAATCATTGTTTGCCCAAGTATATCTTGCTGATGAAATGTTTTTAACACATCTTTTTTTAACCATAATGTCATACTTATGATATATTTATTATGCTTGGGGACCTCAGGGGCTTGGAAATGAGGCAAGAGACTGCTGAAGAAGAAGAAGAAGTAAGATGCGTATTAAAAGTCATTGCAGCCACTGGAAAGTTCTGGTATTTACATTGTCACCATCCTGATTGCTATTTGTCAAATTCAAGAGCACTTTGATGGCTGGTAGACCGCTTTATGCGAAGGTCCCTTTCTTGTTTTCACACTTATCACACCCTCACTATCCAATATCCATCAAGCGAAACACAATCCTCCTGAGGAGAAGTTTGATTTCAAACCCCGGTTAGACGTGTTGGTATCTATTTTGCTAGTGCCACTGTCTTCCTTTCTTGCAGCTTATAAATTAAATGTTCTAAACTTTTAATGATAATTTGCAGAAAATTAAGTTCCTACTACTGTACTGCGTATGTGGACAGCTGCATCAACTTTATAGTCATAGCTTACAGCCTTTCACTGCTGTGCTCTATTACATGATATGGTCACTATTAAAACTAAATATGGCACATATTGTCCATACAGCTTGCTAACTGTATAATGGTCTTCACTAGGCTAAATTTACTATTTCTTAGCAGGTTCTACTACCTGTAAAAATAGTTAAATCTGGCCATAATATGAAAGGATTTTTTCTCATTGAACTTCTCATGCTACCAAGGGTTTTGTCATGCATGCTGACACCATAGCCACTTGTCATTATTTTAGAGCTTTTAGGATGAAGTTCCGAAAAATGCAATTAAATCTTGCATATCAATTTAATCGATGAGATCCGTACAAGAATATGTCTGCACATCGAGATGTTTTATGCTTTTATATGCCTTTCTCGTAAATATTTAATTGGAAGTTAATGTTTTATGCTATCGTTATGATTTTTTGGGATTGAGAACTATCATTCATCTGTCATCATGTTATGCGGCTCTGCAGGCATGATTGGGAGAAATTGAGAAGCATGTTGTCCCTTCATTTAAAGCAGGTATGGGGAGGTATGCCAATCTACAAACTTATAAAAAATTTAGATGAGCGGCTGTTTCAAATGGTATTAAGTGTTATTTCCTTTTTGTCGATATTTGCTATAGGTCATTTCTGAGTATCCACAGGCAAAAATGACAAAGGAGGAACAAAAATTTTCATTAGGAGAGACACATGCCGAGTTGGTGAAAAGGTTGGATGATGGTACTTCCGCAATCACGTATCTTCTCATTTTTATTAGTCGCCTCTCAAGTAAAGATTTTTATGCTTACCATATATCAAGACAATGTACTACATTACTAGGATACTGCATAAAAAATGAACGCAGAGCAATATGGTCCCTGGCCCTTCATAGTGGACTTCTAAGAATATGTTCTAATGATACGAGTATCGCTGCATTAATGCACTTGTTTCTGTGATCAAGAAGGTTTACTTGTGAATGCTAAATAAATGATGCATTTTTTTTGACTTTAATGAAGTATACAGTTAATAAACTAATCTACATTGAAGGACAACATTCAGGACGATGGTATGACATGAAAAGAACTTCCAAGGTTTTGATGAATCTAAAAATGAAAATAATACAAACCCTTGTGAAAGAAAATCAGAGCAGCACATAATTTATTTCATGTATTCTTTCTGTTCTTGTAACAAGAGTTGCTGTTGCTTGCTTGTTTGTATGAAAACTTGTTGCATCGAGCTGATAATTCAAATTGGTTATTTGAAGAATTTTGCTAGTTTGGGGAATTTGTTATCAATATTTTCTTTCAATGGTTTGAAAACTCCAATCTTCTGGTTGTTTAGAAACTTTTCTTTTGTTTATCAAACTTACATTCTCTTGATGTTTTTGCAGCTCTTCATAGTTTTGTTGATGGTCCACCATTTACCCTGCAAAGGCTCTCCGAGGTGATTGTGCTATCATATGTCTTGAAAACCTCCATTATAATTTCAAAGTTTGTTCCCCAGCATTTTACATGATTGGATTATTTACTCGAGCAGGAAAGGGAATGGATGAGTGTTGGCATATCCATATCCATCTCATCTTTGAAGATTTGATTATTCTTATTTAACCTGCAGGCTACCTTTTAATTGATGTATATCCATGCTCTGAGTTTCTGAATCTTTTGTGTTGATATGAACAGATCATTTTGGATGCTCAAATCTTGTATCCAAATCTTTCAAAGCTTGCTCTGGCCTTAGAAAAGGTAAATGTTTAATAAAACATTATAGCCTCCTGGAACATTAAAACCACACCATTATACAAATGAACCTGCAAATGAGCTGATTTTCTTCATCGTTATTTTCCAACTTATACATTTATCAATCAATCTTGACTTTGCCAAGAGGCCTTTGGCCAATCACATTTTCTTTTGCCTAGTTAGTTCTTCAAGGATGCATTGGTAGGCGGGAGCGGACAAAAGTCAAAAAAAAAAAAAACATATCCCACGTTTGGTACGACATTAGACTGTGACAGGACTCAGTGGGACAAACCGCCAAAATAGGTGGAACAAAAATTAGGAAAATGGACTAGATTGCTAAATTATTAAATTACCCACATATCAATTTAATAATCCAGTTTTGTCCCTTCTAATCTTGTTCAGTCTTGTCCATGTACCAAACGCACCCTAAGATTGCAGTAGCAAGTTTCTTTTTCTTGATAATGGTGATGATTGATTGTGAATGTGTTTACAGAATCTGTCGGTGACATCTACCTTGGCCATCTCCACCGATCCTTATCCACCATCACACATAACAACACCAAATGGACTCAACAAAGTAACAGAGGATCCAAATCCAAATCAAAACCCACAACTGCAATCTGATACCGTGATGGAAAATGGGGCGCAACCCGTGGTAGCAGATAGGGACGAGATTATGACGGAAGTGGAGGCTGATGTTGGTGATGTTATGACAATGGACATGGAAACCTACGAGAAATCATCAGTGGACTCAAGCCCTATGACAACAGGTGATTCTTAGTCTTTCCTGTTATTCTTTGAACCCATCAAATGTCATTGTAATTGTCGCCTTTGGTGAAACACTTGAGATTGTACATTCAGAGCATGTGATATATTTCTGTCACGATCAGACCCACTTTCAGATGGGGTATATTGTGCACAATTTGTTTGGTTTACATAGCATTAGAGTATTATTACTATTCACATCAGTCATGCATTCATTAATATTCTTCTCTTTACATCCCATCGGCCTTGAAATTTGAAAATAACAGTCCGTAAAATCCCAAGTGGCCCTGAACGGCTCAATTGAATCTATGAGGAGAAGCCCCAAGACCCGACTTTTATTTGTTAGTTGAGCTAACTTTCAAGGTTTCTATTAAATGCATTAGAGTTTAGTGTTTGGATTTCATCTGGGTAAGTCTTACCGGACACCTCTTATACTCTTTTCATCCTCTGTATTGTGATTAAACATGAATTCTATATGAAATAAATCGATACGTTGAAACATAATCAATGGATTGGTACGAGTATGAAATAGTGCTCAATTTGCATAGATTGTCGAAAGTGATAAACTAACAGAAACCGTTAAAACCATCTTAGTTTGAACGGTTTGGGGTTTCTATCTTTAAAAAAAGGGAGCAGGTGGGTATAATTTAAAGGTAACGTTAAAGAAACCTTATTCACTAGTGAATGTACTTTGAAGGGACATGTGGGGTTAAGATTTAGCGTTGTGAGCCAACACAACCAAGCGAACCCCACCACTACCAGCAACACAACACACTCACTGGTTATTGACTACACGCGATGATCACAAATCGTACCTCCTGAAGATGGTCAGGTTCCCCACCACATTTCCTACGTCCTCCAAACGCCAAAACTTGCCTCTGCCACGTTTCGATCATTGCATATTTGATCCGAGTTTTTTTATTTTATATTTTTAATCATAATCGTTTAAGTCAACTTGTGTATACCTTGGCTAGTTAATTTCATTGGTCTCTCAAGTTAACCATGATACTTAGTTTTTGGTTGAATAAATCTGTTCGGGTCTCTAAATTGTATTTTAACAAGACTTCTTGATTACACGGAACTGGTGTAAATTGTAACCTACGACATCAGTAGATGATACTTGGAGAGTATTTGATTTTTGTTTTACCATCTTATTCTCGTCATGAGGAGAGAGAGAGAGAGAGAGGGGAAACACTTTTCAATCAAGACAGAGGGAGATTATGTACTTAGGTCCTTCTAGCCGAGCTCGTTAATAAGGAATGGATTTGTGACTAAGGGGCCGTTTATCAAACACTTACATGGTAAGTGCTTACCGGTAAAATTTAACATTATATGTACTTTCCGGGTAAGATTTTAGTTCACAAAAACGACATAATATACAATAATTTACCCTGGTAAGATTTTAGTCCACAAAAGCAACATAGTATACAATAATTTACCCGGTAAGCGCTTACCGTGGTAAGAGTAGTCGTCCTCACTTACCAGTAAGACTCTTGATCCTTGTCTTGCTCTTATCGGGTAAGATTCTTGGTCTTTACTAATATTCATCCGGTGAGGTAATGTTACTTGGTAAGCGCTTACCCGGGTAAGCGTTTGGTAAACAGCCCCTAAGTTATTGAGTTATACAAATGTGTTTGATTATGACGAAATGATGATTTGATTCATTAAGGCAAGTAATGTTTGCCTTCAGAGATTAAGCCAATCTTTTTTCTCTGTTTTTCAAAATACCTTCTTTTTCCTATTTTTGGCCTCTTCCGTTTGTGCAAATCTTTTTCTCTATCGTTTTTGTCCCAAATATTTTATTATTCTTTTATTATTCTTTTATTATTATTATTATTATTATTATTATTATTATTATTATTATTATTATTATTATTATTATTATTATTATTATTATTATTATCTTATCCACATTTATCAAATTTGATTATATGTTATTGTGTTATAAATATTGTTTAAAAAGATAAATTTTGATAACATGTTGAGGGTTAAAATCGTAATTTAAACCATCGATTATTAATCACTATAGCCGACTTACATATATTACTTGAGGGAAACGAAATAAGCAACCCCTTAATTAGGTTTATATATCAGATGCAAACGGTGTTATTTTCTTAATAAATATATACATGTTGGATATAAGACCTAAAGTTTGTCTAATTCATATGAACAAATGGTCGGCATACATATTATGGAGTAGTTGTGTTAAATGCGTCATACCACAATTATTTGGGAAAAAAAAGAAGAAATCATGTTAATTACATTATTTTTTCGTTCAACTTTAACTGACATGAACCATTTTATCAATTTCATTTAGTTCCGTTTGTGAAAAACATGAATATATGAAGATGTTTTAACCGATTTTATCCAATTATATTTTGAAATATGCAAACCATCTCATCCACTCATCCCCTTTTCAAGCAAATTCAAGTGTCTAGTCAATTAATCCCATCGTAAATCAAACATAACAATAAAACAAACCGACAAGGAGAAATCAGATATCATTCTTTAGATCTATATTTTACACAAATATGTCCTCTATCATGAATGATGTAACATTTGTTTCCGTGAAGATCCTTGCTTGTGCAAAAGTATGAACAAATAAGAAAGAAGACATACATCCCTTCACTTATCACAATATTTTGTTACTTTATTTGACAACTTTCTAACCCTTCACCTATCTCACGCTCTCTAACTCCTTTGATCCTACTGACACTAGCCTCAACTCCTTGCACTTACGTCTACTACCCTAGTCTTGCATTTCAAATAACTCCTACAAAGAGGTTATGTCATCATACATGTCTAAGATCGCCATTTTCATCCTCAACTACTCAATATTCTACCATCCTCATTCGCTGCCATTGGTCTCTTACGCACGTGTCGAAACCACAACAGCCTTCTCTATCTCAGTTTATCCGTGATTGGCATAATTCTCAATTCCGTTTGAAAGACCTTGTTTGATATCTTGTCTAAAATGGTCCTGCCATAAGTCAATCATTTCTACCAGTTCCAACTTTCTCATTTCTGCAACTTCTAATTTTCTCTCATGGGCGTTCCTTGTCGCCAAGACCCTATCACAACTCTCCATTTTAACCACGATGCCTTTATGTGATGTGTTATATCATCTTTGACCTCTCTCTCCCTCTCTCTCTACTTGGATCATGGAGTCTAAATACTAGAAAGTAGAAACTGTCATTTTCAGAGTAGCATTTGTCCCCAATATTAACTTACCTGTTATTTCTATTTGAATCAATTTTTCCTTGTTTTCTTTTCTGATCTTTCTATTTTCTGTCACATCATCAATGTGTTCCCTATTTAAATTTGTACACCATGTATTCTGTCTTAAACTTATTAATGTGTAACGTTTCTGTTTCCAAAGTAGCCCTCTACTGCTCCAACCTCTAGTTGATATCTACATTCATTTTCTGCTATCAACATGACATCATCCACCAATAACATACACTGTATGACTCTCTCCTAGATCCTTCGGGAGATCTTATCCAAAACAAACTTAAAAAAATATGTTTCTGAATTTACATATTTTCTAGTTTCTTATTGTTCATAATAACCCAACCAACTTTCTTACTTTGAATGATTAAGTCATTAGACTATGTTTTGAATAAAAAATAATTAAACTTTTTCGTTTTGAATGATTAAATTCATAAACAATTTCTTTTTGATAGATAAACAATCAAATTTTTAAAATTGGTTAGGTACATTATTTTAACTCAAAAAAAGTTATGTGTAACTGGGAATATTTTAAAGTAAAAAAAATATTAAATCAGTTTTACCGTTCACAAACTTACGTCATTCAGACCCTTATATTAGTACACAACAACATCGCTCCCCCTCGTCATTGTTGTCCATTCTCTATACAACTCATTGCTGCTATTAGCCTCTGCTATCGATCCCCCTCTTTATGATATGTTTTTTTTATTATCCCACTTTTACAATAATTTAATGAACGAATAGGTATGTTAAAAAAAAGAAGAATCAAGAAGCAAAAATAAAAACAATCAAAAAAAGGAAGATCGATGGTAGGAGCCAACGACAATGATTGACGGTAATAGAGAGCGCACAACGATAAGGCGACGAAGGGTCTTATAAATGACGTAGGATTTGAGAATGATAAAACTGATTTATGTTCTTTTTTACTTTAAAACCTTCCTAGCAGGTTTCAGATAGTTTTTCTAGATAACAATGACATTAGTTACCAATTATTAAAAGTTTGATGATTTATTTATTTAAAAAATAATTTAATAACTTAATCATTCAAAATGAATTGATTTTATCATAAAAAAAAATAGACCATATAATTAATCATAAAAACAAAATATTGTATTTTTGCACTTTATAATAATGATAAATCCAATTTTTTCAATCAAAGACACTTTTTAAAGCATATAATATCATAACAGTATTTTAATTTCCACGACAAAAAGTTGGTGCCAAATTAACACACACTTGAATACAAACAATTCACGTACATTTTGTGGGCATCCCACCTTTCACTTCTATTCTCGTACGATTTAACAAATTAATCAAATTTATAAAAAATAATATGTGATTAAAAAAAATCTACGTGTCATTCTAAAACATGAATAGTTTATATATATAATATTTTCAAAAGATATATAATATGATACAACTATTTGTACCGTGTTACTTTTTTCCCAACACTCTCTTGGTATAAACTGAGTACTTGAGTTCGTAGACTCCAAATCAAAATGGAAACTGAAATTACCAAAGCTTCCTGCACACAGAAAGTGGACATGAAGAAGGGTTTGGTGAGTGGTCATGACCATGGGCATGGTGATGGGTTGTTCGGTTGTGGCGGTGGCGACAATGATAGCGGCGGTTCTTTTGACGGGAATGTCAAGAAGAAGAAAGGGAGTCACGGTGGAGGTGGTGGCTCGTCTAGCGGCACAAGGTGTTGCCAGGCTGAGAAGTGCACGGCCGATCTAACCGAGGCCAAGCAGTATCATCGTCGGCATAGAGTGTGTGAGCTCCATGCAAAGGCTCAATCTGTGATTGTTGCCGGAAGTCCTCAACGGTTTTGTCAGCAATGTAGCCGGTTAGCCATTCTTCCTTATGCATGCACGTAAAATACACTCATTTTATTTTATACTTGTACCGGAAAACAAGAGGTATAATATATATATATATATATATATATATATATATATATAAAAGTTGATTATTATACAACCCTTGACATTTATGCAACCAATACAACCCTTAACATTTGTGCAACCAATACAACCCAATTTCAACCGTCCATTTCATTTGATGAATATGTGATTTCATAAAAGTTTTGATTGTTTCCAAATATAAAGTATTAATCATAATTAATGAACTCTATTCATATTCCATAAATATTCAAATTATAATAAATGTACTCCTATCATTTTTATAAATATCTCAATTAATTGGGTTGCAAGGATTGTACAAATATACAAGGTTGTAAAAGAAATATATATATATATATATATATATATATATAAAAGATATAGGTTGGGAACTATTATAACGTCTTAAAGTACTAGTTTCAAACAGTTATTATCGGGCATAAAGTTGGGAACAAATAACATTTCAAAAAACTATAGTTTATGTTTGCTAAACAAAAAAATCAAAAAAAAAAAAAACCAACAAACTATCTCACTTTAAATGATTAAAATTCTGAACTATTTTTTTGAGTCTCATTTTAAATAATTAAATTCTCCAACTATTTTTTGAAGGGAAAACCATTTAACTTTTTCATTTTGAATTATCAAGTACTCGAACTAATTTTTTGAATGAAAATGAGAAAGTTTAATGGTTTTTTCATTTAAAAAAATAGTTTAGAGATCTAATAATTGAAAATGAGAAAATTTAATAGTTTTTTCGTTTAAAAATAGTTCAAAAACTTAATAATTCAAAATAAGATAGATTATAAACTTTTCCATTACTTTTTTGTCTTTCAAAATTTTAGTGCAAACTTTTTTCGTATTTATAATACTTATTTTGATCTTTAATGAGACTGCTGGTGTTCAAATGGTACTATAACTATATTCATATCGAGTTACTTGTATCGTAAATAGGAGTTTCAATCAGTTATTATCGGAAACAGAGTTAAAAACAAAGTTAGACAGGAAAGACTCGTACCATTTAAGTAACGTTTCAAAAAATTAACTTATAACTTTTTGAACAGACCTTTTTTCATTAAGATCAAGAAGTAAACGAACTTTTAATTACTAAACATAATCTTAGCAAAAATATAACTAATATTCATCTATTTAAATTTTAATACATACTCTTTCTATATTTAGAATACTTATCTTAGGGGATGGTTCTAATTATTATTTATATATATATATATATTTGAAATATTTAAGTTATTTGTTTGATTATTTAAAGTTAAATCAAATAAAATAATATGTTGAACTAATTTAATTCTATTATATGTTGTTAAGTTTTTTGTTGAACTAATTTAATTCTATAATATGGTTCTGATTATTATTTTTTCATGTCAATCTTTTATAAAGTTTTGTCTATTTTAAATAAATGTAATAATAGACTGTATTTAATCGATTAAATATAAGATATCACAACTCTAAAGAAATAGTACAAATTATTAATTGATTTTACATGAGAGCACCATTACTTGATGGTACAGTACTCTCTTCTATACTCTAATCGTACTAGTAATTGACACAACATACTTTTACATGTGGACTTATGAGCATCATGGGTCCGTATACGTCGGTGTGCATCAACGTGTTGTATCATATAACACAATGATGCACACCACAGCTGTTTAATCAGCTTTATTCATAGAAAAAGAATCAAAACAACCAAAATGTTGTGGTTTTTTTTATTCTTGGTCAAATTGGTGCAGATTTCATGAGCTCTCGGAATTCGATGATGCCAAGAGAAGTTGTAGGAGACGTCTTGCAGGACACAACGAGAGACGTAGGAAGAGCTCGATCGAGTTTAAAGGTACAGGGAAGGAGCTTGTGTGCAAGGGAAGGTTCGAAGGCTGCCATTTATAAAGTCTTATAACCAGATGTAAATTTAAATAAATAAAATATGGTGTTTGTTCTCTCTCTTTTGTCATTTCCTCGTTTGAAAATGGCCAATTTCACATGATCTGATCCGATTGCTGGCAAATCTATGTACTTTTTATTAGCTATGTTGTTTAAAATGTTTGACTGTAATGACAATAAAACATGCTTATATTCTTAATAAGAGTGTTTTAGATAACTATTTTTTTTTGAAGTATATAATATTATATACGGCAAATAGAACAAAAAAACTCACACACCCTCCTCACATTTGGTGAGGTTTGAACCCTGGACTTTCTAGAAAACCAATGACTCACATACCGCTAAGCCAAATGCCTTTTAGTTTAGATAATATTGAGAAGTAAAAAACATACAAGTCTGTATAGATACAAAAGCAACAATTGATATAAGTACTTTGCTCGATAAGTTGGTTTTCAATTGTTGGTGGTACTGCTTCATTTTGTCTTAATCATATACCTTTCCATTCTAATAAATTTTCCTTTTTACCTTTCAAGAAGGTAAATCGTCTGTAAAACTAAGGATATAACAGTAATTTTGCATAGACACTCTTAAAATACATATTTTGATTTAGAAAAATGTCCATTTGAAGAAATGTATTTAATGATGTATATTTTTATATGCTTTTTTGGAAATATATTTTCAACTTTTTTTAAATTGCCGAACCTTAGAAATCACTTAAAAAACACTTGAAACACACACATGATATGTAGGAAAAAAGTTTCAGAAAACCCAGATTTACTGGTTTTAGAAACACTTTTTGGTTTTTGTTTCTCATTTCTGTTGCTTCTTTTTGTGGGTTTTTATTCTAAAATCCGATCTAAGTTTTAGAAATTACTTTCTATTTTTTTTCTTCTAAAAATACGTTAGTCGTGCTCGAGATGGAGGAGACAAGTGCGGTGATCTAGAAGGAAGTGGCTAGCGGGGTAACGGTGGTGGTGGCGGGGTTTTTTTTTTTTTTTTGAAGGTATCTTTTTAAAGGTGGAAGATGGAGAAGAGGTACGGGGAAGAAGACAAAAAGGAGGTAGAATTTTTCGTTTTCTTATATCGTTATACAGAAGCTATAAAGACGTTAGAAATGACATAATGATACTAGGGATACGAGTGCAATTAATTGGGAGTATTTGAACATATGTAACACGGTTAGGAACTACTAGAAGGGTACTCGTGCAATGCAGCGAGATACATCTCGATTTTAACGTTTCATTTTATTCTGTCTCCGTTGATGTTATAATACGATTTTATGTGGTACCGAAAAAACTATATTGTTTTTATTTTTTTGAATAAAATATAAACTTGAAGATATCATAAAATTTTGAAAAAACATATATCAATTTTTGTATCTAATTAAATATTTAAAAGTTCTTGTTTTTTTGTGTAATTTCTTTAATTCTATTTTTTATTATAATTTAATTTAGATTTAATAAAGATGTCATTTATTTTTAGTTTAATAATATAATTCTTTTATAAAGATAATATTTAGTATTTTGAATTCACTGATTATCTTAAATATATTTTAGATTTTTTATATTTAAAATGAGATAATTGTCCAGAATTTGATTATGTTTATCTATGGTTAGTTACACAAATTCAAGCATGAAGCTTTAATAAGTTGTACATACGGATAATTTACTTGTAATCTTAAATTTTAAGTAATATGCATCAATCAACAATATTTAATACATAAAAAATAATTTTTAAGAGTTTTTGTTAAATGATTTATAATATAGTATAGATTATTAAAATGATGTGGGATTTGGTACGAAAAATAAAACAACAATGAAGAAATGTAGAGTTTCAGAACAATTAAATGCCTCTTCTTAATTGGGCTTGAAAAGTTGGATTTGGGTCGGATCCGGAGGAGTTCGTTGTTCATTGGGTTGGGTCTGTGCAATGCGAATACTTGGGTTGGGTTGGACCAAGCCCATTGACCGAATTATTTTTTTCTCTCATTATAATAAGTTTAATAAATTTATTTAACAGTGGTTTTGTCAGAAATGCCGTCTGAAATATTAATAATTTGATTTAAGCAACTCTTTTGTGATTTAAATTGAAAACTTTCTAGGAATTTCATAAAAGTCCCTACATTTGTATAAATGTGATCTTTTTCTTATTTAACCACAAAGGTGATGTCTGACTGGTTTAAGCTTGGACTCCAAAAGTCAAAAGTACTCTCAGGTTCGAATCGAAGGAAAAATAAAAAAAATTCCTTTGTGGCCACAGAGATTCAAATACGATGACTCCTGGCTACCTGCAAAGCGGATAGTCGTCCTAGAATTAGTCGGCTCGCATAGCGGGTTGAATATCCAGGTTAATTTAAAAAAAAATCTAAAAAATGCATAAAAGCATTTAGGCTTTGAGATCTAGTATTTTGATGTATATATTACTTTATAAGAGCATTTTTAACAGTTATGCTATTTTATAAACTTTGAAGATTTTAAAAAGATTTGCTTTAACTGCTTTGTTAAACTCTCCTATAAAATAGGAAAGAACTTATGTTTTTCTATAAAATAACTTATCAACTTATTATAAGTCAGAGGGATTTAACTTTTTTAAAAACTCTTTATTACCGGTTTGGCACCGGTATAAGTTGTTTATCTAAATACTCAAAAGTGTTTATTACCGGTACCACACCGGAATAAGTCAATAAATTATTTTTATAATCAATCTCAAACCCCCCCGCAACTGGCCATTTTCCCTCAATGCCCTTGGAAAAAACACATCTCTTCCTCTCTGAGTTCATCCCATCCTCCTCCAAGAGACCCTCTTCTAGTTGTTAGGTTTTTGGTGTTCTTTTTAGATTCAAATTCATCGATGATATAGTTCCTTCGATAACTATTTGGATTTGAGATTTAAACCCATCGGTGATATACTTCTTGGTTCATCTTCATCTTTGTGATTTTTGGGTTCTTAGGTCTGGGTTCACTTGCGATTTATGGGTTCTTAAATCTTCATGGTTTCTACGATGTTCTTCTTGATTCGAACTCGTCGGAGATACGAGATGGGGGTGGGTTCGCCAGAGAGCCAACAAAACGGGAAGGGGTTCACGAAAGGAGGAAATCGTCCTTCTTTCTTTGGGGGAGGGTTGGATTTTTGGACGGGAATATAATGTGGGTTTCTATTTTCACCTTTTTCAAAAGATGATTTAGGGGGAAATGACATATTTACCCCTCACATAAGGCTCACATAAAAGGTTAACGGGTTTGATTGTAATTCACTCTTTTTTTTTATATATATTTTAATGTCTTTCATCTAACATTTTTATCCAACGGTCGTTTTAATGGGATACAAATATAGATTGAAGGGTAAAATGGTTATTTATGACATTCAGAATGTTTATTCAGCACAACAACCAAATAACAACTTATCTGTTAACATACAGACAACTATATCCATACAAGTCTTAATAAAAAACGAACCGAACAACCCCTTAGTCATTAATTAGTGGCAACTTTTAACATTTAATAACTAACGGTAATAACTAATAGGTCTTTAACAACGATCGTGACAATGTTCAAAAAGCAAATTGAGAGAAGCCTTCATAAACTAAAAGAAGTATTTGATATCCTAAGAGTACAAAAACTCCATGGATGTGGAAAAACTATCTATCGTTCACGATGAATGTTTGCCATACCACCACAAAAGTGTTGTCGCCATCTATTATAAACTATGACTTTTGTCACAATCCCGAAATGTATGTGAGCCTATTTTATCCCCCTTTCTTAAATGTAAAATAATTCCACCAATAAAAACGGAGCTTTAAGTGGTCGTCATTTTCCACGTGCAACCCTTGTTGATCGAGTTGGTTCTTTTGATGGCTCAAGAGTATGTTTCGAATATCTCCATTTTCCCTCGCAATTCAAAGTTTTATTTGCTGGAAGTTTCATCCTTGTTGACTATGACAACAATTGTAACTCAGTTTTTACGTGATACAACACAAAGATTGTCCAAATATCATGATTTTACCTAGCATTGATCCAAAATTTACTACGGTATGAGGGTGCACCCTTATTGGAGAAGTTTGACCCCCCATGTGGATGAAACGCCTCTCTAATACTAACAACAAATCGAGAGTTGAGTCCGTAACAACTTATAGTCATAACTTGGACCAAACTAGAGAAATTGTAGTCCCCAATAAAAATAGTCGTTCGATGAATGACAATCCAAAATAAATTCGATGTCATTTAAATTTGCTTTATCTATATTAACATTTCAAGTGATCTTTAATACTTTTCGATAACAGGCTTCATCATATCGATCAATAGATTTCTCAAGATCGATCTTCCCAGTTTTTATAACTATAAAAAACAATTCATATTTAATTCGAATAGATAAAAAGAAAAGTGGGGATATATATATATATATATATATATATATATATAGAGAGAGAGAGAGAGAGAGAGAGAGAGTCCATGAGAAGGGCAAAACATTGGTGTTAAAGTCCATTATGTGCACTGGGGTAATGTTCCCCCATGCCCACACCATTCCTTCACCTACTACAACACAATGGGTGCTAGAATTATGGAGACATTATATATACCCCATACATCATTCCAATGTCCTACCCTTTGCTTTGCTTTGCTGTCACCACCACTTTACTACCCCTTCCTATCCTAGGAAACAAATACATCAATACAATTTATACATATATTTGTATGATACAATGCAATATTTTATTTTATTATAATCTCATATTCAATTATTAAAAATCCAAAATTTATTACGTACATTCTTTCAGCTAAAAGTTATTAACAAATCATAACTCTTGATGCATTACTGATTTATACCCTCAAAATTTCACCGAGATACTTTATAAGATAGTATTTGTATATTGCATGGGTGTTATATTATGTGTATCATATAGCATGTCTCATATTCAATACAAGAAAACAAAAGATGCATTATACGTCTTCTTTGACTGGAACGAGGGTGCGTTGGGCAAGGGCACATGGGGACAATAGGGGAGGGGTCCGTTAAAGGGACATAGTTTCGCACACGAGATGTGTTGTGTGTATGCTTCATAATTGTATACTATATGGAGAGGGTGTACTCGTGAAGAGGGTTGTACGCTTCAGACAAAGTGGTTATGTATGGTCGTCTTTATTCGCATTAAATATTATGGGTTTTCATCAGTGAATTTTGTTTCTTCAGAAGTTATTTATAACAATATGCTCCTTGCATTCATTCCTTTTTATGTAAATAGAAATTTCTGAGACCTAATATATAGTTGAAGTCAACTATATAATTAATTTGTTATATTTGAAACACCCTTGAGAAATACAAAATAAGATTAAATGAGCAGTATGAATATAATCAAATTATTTGCAAAAATAATCACAAGATGAACATATTCAAAACTACAATGTTTTATAAATATTGATTTGATTGGTTCAATCATGAAGAACCTATTTTATGCAGTACCTAATTCTTGAGCTGGTTCATGTATATGTAACATTTGATTTCGAGTTTTATTAACCAATATCATTTGCTATATTTCAACATTCGATTTTTGTTGGTCTGAGAGTAGAAAGCACTTCATTGATTTTTTTTTCTTCTTATCCAGTGTATAAGAAGAGTGAATTATGCTAAAATGCAATAAGCTTTGAATTTATTCATGTTTAAAAAATCAACTTCCAAAAATCGACTTTACAAATCAAAACCTGATTTTGTTGACATGGATGCGAGTTTTCGTGTTTATGGATTTTGCAATTAGATAAATGAAGATGGAAGAAATTCAACCCAAAACCTCTAGCATTAAATTGTAACTTTTTAAAGTGGTCCTTAAATTTTTATTCTTTTACAATCAATGTAGTGGGAAAATGTTTTTTCAAGTAATATAATATTTATATATAACAAATAGTACAAATAAACTTAGATACCCTTATCACATTTGATGAGTTTTGAATAAAATTTTAAATTCTGATAAAATTTTCATTTCAAAGTTTATTTAAGAATTATCTAAAAAACATATACATATTTTGGGAAAAAGTATAATGCTAAGAGAGCCTTTGGACATATATTTTCAGAATTTATTATTGTGATTTTCAACATACAAAAAAAGCAATATTTTTGAATATAAAATTTAATTCTAAAAAACATAAACTTATGTTCGTATTTTTAGTGGGTGTTTGGTTTGATAAAATAGTTTTGAGGGATTTTGAATTGGAATAATTTTGATCGACAAAGATTTGGAAATTTTGACGTGTTTGTAGAATAAGAATGAAATAAAATTTCATTCTTTATAAAATTACATAAATTACTTCTTTGTTAATTGATAAATACAAAATAAATGTTTCAAAATCCATCTTAATTTTCAATCCAACAAATTAAACCACACTTTCATATTATTAAAATTGAATAACAAGAATTAAAATTTTGTAACATATTATTTTATGATAATTTTAGCCAACAATTCATATAACTGGTTTTCATATTACAACCATTTTCTAATAAAATTTGAAAATTTTTAGTTTTAAAAAAATAAATGTAAACCAAAAACAAATTGAGAGTGTAATTAAAATACGGTGGTTGGGTGCTTGAATTTAATGTGAGAGGTCAACGGTTCATGATCCCTTTGCGTCTCCATTTATTTTTGTAAAATTAATTACGAATCTTTTTAATTAAAAATAAACAATAGAGTTTTTTTGTTACATGATTTCAATGGATTATTCTATTCTATAAAAAAGACAATTCTTTAAAAAACGAGAAATGAATTTTTTATTCACTCCATCAATTAATATTATTTTATATTAACGTTATTTTTAAAAATATATTAAGATAATAAAATTATAGAATATTAAAATAATATAGTTAATAATAAAATATTTAAAATAGAGAATTTGTTGAAATTAAATGTAATTTATTTTAGAGATTTTGATTTTGTTTTTCTATTTTATATAAATTGTATAGAATTTGTTGGAGATGCTCTAAAAATATCGATCCAATTTATTGTGACATTATTTTTAATGTATTTTCTATAATTTTTTAAAATACACAAAATCAAATTTCTAAAAAGAAATATCTTCAACATATTCATTATTTTGAAATTTTAACATGAAAACATTTTTATAAATTTTTGGAGGTAACTTTAAAATGTGAATTTAAACGATGATTAGAAAGAATTCAAACAAATTGTTAAAATGGTAAAATAAGATATATATATATATATATATATATATATATTAGGTTTGGACCCGTGTATTACACGGGTTAATGACACAAAAATTCGTAATTCTATTGTTAGACTGGAAAATAACTCTGGAGTTAACTTTGAATAAGAGGAATTCAGAGTTGTCTAGAAAGTATCTACGAGCATAACTCTAAGTCACAAGAATTTTGATTTCTTATAACTCTGAGACGTAACTCTGAAGAGGAGTTTAGAGTTGTATTCTAAGTCTGGGAATAAACTATATAACTAAGTTTGGAACAGAATAATTCAGAGTTATGTTGTAAGTCTGAGAAATAACCAATATCTGATGACTTCATGTTGATGATTTGTATCACTAATGTCATTTAAGTGTAATGTGATTAAATTGTTGACCAATGTAATCATGATAAATATTAAACAGGTAAGGCAGGTGCGAAGTGTACACTTGTTTGGGTTTATTTTGATTGAGGGACGAACCCCTAACAAAAGGGGTCCGGGGGCAGGGCCCCCGGGTGGTGGGATCCAAGGGGCAGAGCCCCTGGCTGGGGTCAGCTTGGAAACTTTTTTCCCGGGTAATATTGGTTTGTGAAAAATGCTTCAAAAATGTGAATTTGAAAATTTAAAGCCGGTTTTGATGATCACTCCAGAGTTAAATTCAGACGTGAATTTTTCCAGAGTTATGTTGTAAGTCTGGGGACCGTAAGTGAAAATTGTGTTTTAGGCGGGAAAAATCAACAAACGTCGTATAGAAACGTGACACGTGTCCCCAAAGTTACTTATATATTAGTATTATAGATATGCATGTATATAAATTAATTAACTTTATATTATTATTAATTAATAAGGTATTAATATT